ACATGTTTGATCAGTTACAGGGTGCTTGTGTGTTTTCTAAGATTGACTTGCGTTCAGGCTATCATCAGTTGAAGATTCGGGAGCCAGATATCCCGAAGACTGCCTACAGGACTTGGTATGGTCATTACGAGTTCCTTGTTATGTCATTTGGGCTGACCAATGCCCCATCAGCCTTTATGCATTTGATGCATAGTGTATTCCAGCCATATCTTGACTCATTCGTCATTGTCTTTATTGATGACATTCTGGTATATTCCCGGAGTCGGGAAGATCATGAGCAGCACCTGAGGATAGTGCTTCAGACTTTGAGAGAGAAGAAAATATATGCTAAGTTCTCGAAATGTGAGTCTTGGTTGGATTCCGTGGCATTCTTGGGTCACGTGGTATCTAGTGAGGGGATAAAGGTGGATCCGAAGAAAGTGGAAGCAGTGCAGAGTTGGCCCAGACCATCCTCAGCTACAGAGAACCGTAGTTTTCTTGGCTTGGTGGGTTATTACCGTCGATTTGTTGAGGGATTTTCATCCATTGCAGCACCTATGACCAGACTGACCCAGAAGGGTGCTCCGTTCCAGTGGACGGAAGAGTGTGAGGAGAGCTTTCAGAAGCTCAAGACAGCTTTGACTACAACTCCAGTTCTGATATTGCCTACCGGTTCGGGGTTTTATACTGTCTATTGTGATGCCTCGAGGATTGGCCTTGGAGCAGTATTGATGCAGGACGGTAGGGTGATTGCCTACGCGTCCAGACAGTTGAAGGTTTATGAGAAGAATTATCCTGTCCATGATCTTGAGTTTTCTGCAATTGTTCATGCCTTGAAAATCTGGCATCATTATTTGTACGGTGTGCCTTGTGATATTTATACTGATCACCGGAGTTTGCAGCATCTGTTCAAGAAGAAGGACCTTAATTTGCGTCAGAGGAGGTGGTTAGAGCTGCTGAAGGACTATGACATCACTATTTTGTATCACCCGGGCAAGGCCAATGTGGTGGCCGATGCTTTGAGTCGCTGGGCGGAGAGTTTGGGGAGTTTGGCTTATTTACCAGCAGCAGAAAGGCCCATGGCGATGGATGTTCAGGCCTTAGCCAGTCAGTTTGTGAGATTGGATCTTTCGGAGCCTAGTCGGGTCCTTGCTTGTGTGGTTTCTCGGTCTTCCTTGTTCGATCGTATTCGAGAGCGGCAGTTTGATGACCTTCATTTGTGTGCCCTCAGGGACCGGGTTCTGCAGGGTGATGCCAGAGATGTGACCATTGGTGATGAAGGGGTATTGACGATGCAGGGTCGGGTTTGTGTACTCAATGTTGATGGGCTTCGGGACTTGATTCTAGAGGAGGCCCATAGTTCGCGGTATTCCATCCACCCGGGTGCCGCGAAGATGTATCAGGATTTGAGACAACACTATTGGTGGAGGCAGATAAAGAAAGATATAGTTGGGTTTGTAGCCCGGTGCCTCAATTGTCAGCAGGTAAAGTATGAGCACCAGAGACCGGGTGGATTGCTTCAGCAGATAGATATTCCGGAGTGGAAGTGGGAGCAGATCACCATAGACTTCGTAGTTGGGTTCCTACGGACTTTGAGGAAGTTCGATGCCATTTGGGTGATTGTGGTTCGGCTGACCAAGTCCGTGCATTTCATTCCTATGTGTACTACCTATTCTTCGGAGCGGTTGGCGGAGATTTATATTCGGGAGATTGTCCCTCTGCATGGCATCCCAGTTTCTATTATTTCAGATAGAGGTACTTAGTTCACATCACGGTTTTGGAGGGCCGTACAACATGAGTTGGGCACTCAGGTAGAGTTGAGTGCAACATCTGGGTATCTCACGAGGAGATGTATTGGCACATTTGCAATATTCTTCGGAAATGTCAACTGATGCAAAAAAATCCATCCATCATTTTGGGTTACTCTAACCCCGGCCAGATCCTGATATCCCGTCTTCCTCTTATACTACTTTTGTTAGCTCCCATGGAGCATAATTGATATTGGTGTGACTAATTGTACATACCTCTATTATAATTTAAGGTATCTCAGAATGCTTATATTTCTCTGCTTGAATTGTAAATACTGTTAATCTTCATTAACTGGGTACCTCGTACCCTTCTTCACCTTGCTTCCTTTACTTGCTGAAACTTGTGTCTACCCTCCGATTCTCTTATTCCTTTTTACCATAAGAGTGGATAGACATTCTTTCCTTAGGGATCGTTATCAAGAAACTTACATGTGTTAGTACGCACACGATCTGCTGAATGCCTCAAATTTATCCATCATAAGCATGATGCAAAAATCGAGTTCCTCTGACTCAACTCTTCCACAGCTGTATCTCTTCTCAACCGTCTTTCTAGATGTAGGCATCGTCTTATTATGAATAAGATCGAGTTAGGAAATTGAGTTCTTACAATTGAGCTCTATGACACGATCTAGAGTAAGAAGAAAGAGTGATAGTCCTAAATGCCTTGTAGCCTCTTGCTTATAAGTGTGGTGCACGACACACCCATAAACAAGACTCTACTAGACACGGCTTATAGACTCCCTAGGACAGAACTGGTCTGATACCACTTTTGTCACGACCCAAACCGATGGGCCGCGACGGGCACCCGATACCTTACTCAACCGAGTACCAACATAACGTATCTTTTCATGTCATACTATCATAGATAACTGAGTCGAAAGGCTTCCGTGAGATAAGTAGAATACAACATGTGATACCAACTTATACATAAGATATACGGGCCTATAAGACCAAATAACCACTCGTATACCGAACATAGGCCGACAAGGCCATGCAATCTTTTACGTACATGACATTAGTCTACAAGTCTCAAAGAATACATAATTTTCATAAAGGCGAGGAAAGAGTCCCGCCATACCAAACAATACACGTCTATGTCATACTAACCAAACAAGCAACTCCGAAGCAAATGGAGCGCACCAGCATCTTCCGCTGAGCTGATAGCCTACTTGGAGGGCTGTCGACCTGTCTATCGGGACCTGCGGGCATGTAACGCAGCATCCTCAGGCAAAAGGGACGTCAATACAAATAATGTACCGAGTATGTAAGGCACATAAATAAGTACATAACAGACATGGAAGAAATATAGAGTAAATGAATCAACTTGTAAGTCTGGATAACTCTGTAATTCATGAAATAATTATAATGTCATGCATATGCAAATGAATGTCATGTCGTGCATAGGTACATGTGTTCATAACATCATCAAGCCTCTGAGGGCATCCCATCATATCATCTCGGTCACTGTGGGCAAAATCTTCAACGTATACCAGCTGATCAAGTGGTGGTGCGTATATAACGCCATAACCTTTCCCATATCCCATATATATATATATATATATATATATATATATATATATATATATATATATATATATATATATACGTGTATATAACGCCATCTGGTCATGGGTCAATGTGCATGTATAAATGCATGAAATGCATATGAAATGCGTTAATAAAATCTCTCGGTACGTCATAAAACCATTATGCCTCTGCTTAATACCATGAAATAAACTTTACCAACTTATGTATTTTTGAGACCCATGAACAAATGATAGAATAATATGACACATGGGGAATCAAGAACATAAGCATCTCTAGTATTTCTATGAATAGAGTCATTTTATGGAAGTTGTGCATTTGCTCGTTTCGTTCGTGTCGTATAGATCATGCCAAAAAAAAAAAGAAAGGATAGTCTTAACATACCTGGGGTAGGGAAAAATCCGTATGATATTCCTGGAAAAGGTTGCACCGTACTCTCCTAGAATCGCAAAATCTCACGTTGCTAATGATTTTAATAATTCTCGTTGGATTTTTTGTGTGTAGGAATTTGAAGAATCACGTTGCTAGTGTAAGGTTTAGAATCTGATTTAGAGTGTTTTTGCGAATGAAATTTGTTGAAAGGTTACAAGAATGGCTAACGTTTGATGTAGTGTTCTTGTATTCAAGACTTTAGAAATGAAATATCTTTTAACTATCATACTAAGTTGCCACCTAATCTACAATGACTAAGAGTCATTTGTTTGATTTAGTGGCTTGCTGCCACGTGGGGGGTGGTGTGGGGATTTTGATATTATCCAATAATTAATTAACTAATTAGGTAGTATTTCGCTACCTGGTAATTAATCAATTACCCGCGTAATTAAGAATTGTCTCAAATTACTTAAGATTTTACTTATTTTTAATACACTCCATACATCCTATTATCATGGTCATATGGTATCTTGTATGGTACCAGTCCATAAATATCGGGTATTATCGCTCGGCCCGCATTTACCCCAATATGCGAAACTTGGACGAAAATTCATTTTCTTTGATTTGCTTCCCCTCTCACCTTCACGAATTTACTCATCACTTGTTTGAAACAGCATGATGCTTATAGTCTCAAAATAATCCCATTCCCGAACTTACGTCGATTAACTGAAGACAAAACAAAAATGCGGGATGTAACACCTCGGCTCAAGAAAAGCAATTTTCAAAACATGTGGTAGTAATAGTGTAGTCATAGTTGACCTGTTTCGTATTTTATATTGATGTAATAGTTGTGCTATTTACCTAGGTGATGCTTGACTCTGAAGTTTATACACAAATCCGGTGAAACTGTTTGAGTAGACTGGAGCGAAAATACCCAAATTTAAATTTTACTCGTGTTGGCCACTAATACTCATGTTGGGCCCGTGCTCTGCACGAGCAGACACTACTATTAGAATTAAGTTGTTCCAGTAGCAACCCCCCTTTGTGTCAAAGAAGAAAAAAATTCTTAAAAAGAGAGAATATGAAATTGGAAATAGGAATAAGATTCAACAGCGCCAAAATTTTAAAGATATAGCAAGGTTGTACTGAATATCGCCAGTACAATTTCATTAATAAAATAGAATTAATAGCTCAAACATAACATTAGAATTATAGTTGGTTGATATAACAAACAGAAGTATTGTAGTTGCTTAATCGGATTGTTCGTCATTCTTCTCTCCAGCGTTGTCAATACCTCTAGTTTTGCTCAGCTAGTTGTTTCTTCATTTCCTCAAGTTTAGCCTTCTTAAGAGCAACTAGCTTTAACAAACCTTTAGTTTGTCTAACATCAAGTTCAGTCATGCTCTTTCCCTTAACAAGTTCACTCAACAGGAACTCCATTTCCATTTCCTCATTCTTTTGCTCCATTTTTCTAATATCTTCTTCCTTGGCCTTCTCTTTATCTGAGAGATAGGTTTCAAGTTTAATTAACTTCTTCATCCTTACAACCTCAGGTTTCTTCAAATAATTCTTGAATATCTCTGTAGCTTGAGCTTCAGACGGCCAATAAATAGGACTAGTTTCCCATGGACTAAAAACAATTATTGCAATTTGTATAGCACATAAAATCGAGAGCTCTTCTGCTTGCTTAAACAAACTTCTTGTTCTTTTCAAAATGAGGGCTTTTTTCTCACTTTCACTCATTTCGCTACTGTTCTTATGCTTCTTGCTAGCCATATTGGGCACACACACACACCAAAAAAAATGGAAAATAAAATGAGGAGTTAAATGAGGAGCAGGGGCTTATATATAGATGCCTAAAAATATTGTTAATGCCATACAATTAAATAATGTCAAGCTGATTTAGAAAGTCTAGCTGGTGAATGAGCACAAGAGAAACTAAATCTAATTCATTACGTTTTCTTCAGTCAGTGTATTAATGATTTTCTTATTTAGACAATTTGAGCAATCAACCCAGGGCTAATATGAATAATTGGTTATGAATTATGATGAATTCTCCATTCTAGACTCTAAGAAATTTCTCTAGGCCAATACCAAACGATTTTAAAATTTTACCTTTTATAAACAACTGGTGCTTATTATGGCTTTTCTATATTGTTATTCTATTGTAACTTGAAGAATGGTGGGAAAAAGGACCTTGCATACACACGGAGAGGGTAGTGAGTGTACAAGTTGTGCAATGTGAGTGGCTGAATTTGATACAAGTGTACAATCCGTAAAATCCATTATTATTATTATTATTATTATTATTGTTATTGTTATTATTGTTGTTGTTATTATTATTAATTATTACTTTGGTGAAAAGAAAGAAATCTTATTGATCATCGGAACAAAATAATATAAATAGTAAAACACGAAAAGCCAAAACTAGAGGCAAAAACTAGGAACAAAACTATGGAGAGCTCCTAATGTCTCTAATTATCCCCCATCGATACGTTAAATCTAATACTATATAAATCTTCTATCCATCTCCTTACTTCGTATCATAACCTCTGTCACTCTATTTACATTCAACTTTGAGTTGCTTAGAACCTTTGTGGGGCAGGGGAACTATATGATGCCACAATGCTTCATGTACAGCTTTAGATATTCTCAAGACAGGTGTAACGACCCGGTCGGTCGTTATTGGAATTTACGCCCCGATCCCCTATTAACTGCTTTCCCCAAGTTTATTTCTGCTATTTTGAATTGCCGGGATGTTCGGTCTTGAGTTTCGGAGAGTTTTGGGACACTTAGTCCCTAAATGAGAGCTTAAGTGTTGGAAAAACTGACCATAGTCAGAATAGTGTGAAGCGGCCTCGGAATGGAAATCCGTATGGTTCCGTTAGTTCGTCAGGTGATTTTGGGATTGGGAGTCGTGTTCGGACAATCGTGTTTGGAGGTTCCGTAAGCTAATTTACGCCCTTGAATGCCGAAGTTTTGAATTTTTTGAAGTTTCCGGCCCGATAGTGAAGATTTGATCCGAGGGTTGGAATGGAATTCAAGAAAGTTGAGTAGCTCCGTCATGTCATTTGGGATGTGTGTGTAAAATTTCAGGTCATTCGGACGTGGTTTGATTAGGTTTTGATCGAAAGTGGTGTTTTGAGAGAAATTGAAGTTCTTAGGCTTCATATCATTGATTAAATTCGAGTTCCGACGTTGTTTTATGTGGTTTAAGGATTGGTGCAAGTTTGAATGATGTTATGGGATATGTCCGTAGGTTTGGTTAGGTCCCGGGGGCTCCGGGTGTGTTTCGGTGCTCAACAGAGCATTTGGAGTTGTGTAAATTGGCAGAAATCCACAGCTGTTGCAGACCCCTTTTTCCTCTTCGCGATCCGCTCCTCCTCCACGCATGTCGCGTAGAGTAATTTTCGGAGGAGGACCAATTTTCTTCTTTCCGCGTTCGCAGTTCAGCGCCTCCGGCGTTCGCGAAGCCTGCATTTTCCTCCTTCTGCGTTCGCCATACCAACCATTGCGTTCGCAGTAGTTTCAATTTGGTCTTTTGAGGCTAAGACCCTATTTTTATTCATACGTGTTCGCATCTCTCTTGTGCGTTAGCTGAGAGCATTGTTTTATGCAAGGCCTTCCATTTTACTTTCTTTACACGCGAGATCATGACTTCCTCCGGCGTTGCGATGCATTAGATTTTCCTTGGGCAGTTTAATAAACATTTTTCAAAAATCGAGGGTTAGTCCTTTTTACCAAAACTTAAGTTGGGAAGCTCAGGATTTGGAGAGAGATATTCGAGGTTTCAAAGCAACTGATTGGGTAACTATTCTAGGATACCCTTTTTGTTGCTCATAACACGACCTAATTCTATCGTGAATCTCTATGTTATATTTCGGATTTTTAGACGGAAAATTTGATAAAACTTCATAGACGATTTTTGAGTTTTGGAATGGGTGTCCGTTTAACCTCCCGGATTTGAGAGTTTTATATACGGTGTAGCATCGTGAGAGTACGAGGATTCTGAAATGTTAATATTATCCGATTCCGATGACGTGTGGCCTGAGGGACGTTTGTGGGTCATTTGACCAATTTCGCGTCTTTAGCTTTGGAAATTATAATAAAGAGAATCAGTTGCTTGAGATGTTATTTAGCGATATGTATTGAATTGAATAGGATTGTGGCGACATTTGGAGTCGGATTACTCGTGGCAAACGTGTGATTTCGAGTTGATTTTGGGAGCGGTTGAGGTAGAGTGGCTTGTCTAACCTTGTGTGGGGGATCTTTCCCTTAGGATATGAATATTTGGGGTAATTTTGAATGCTTGTACGTGAGGTGACGACGCCGCGTAATCGTGAGCTTAATTGTTGAAAACCGGATTTTTATATAAAATATTTAGACTGAGGTTCCTTTCGTAATCTCTCTTTATTCTATTCTTGCAATTATATGCCACTGTGTTAGTTTAGAAAAGTATGCTTAGTTGAATTTAAATTGCCTATTTGCCTTAATTGCCTTGGATTGTCTGACGTGAAGCATGGTTAGGGCTAGAGAACTACTGTTGCTGTATTTTGTGCTTCATTTTGAATACGCCTCTTTGGTTGTGGTTGGCATTTACATATGGGAACTCGGATGTGGAATTGTTTGGTAGCCCCACTTTGTTTATTTTACTCTTGGACTACAGGCTTAGATTCCCGTAGATCGTCCCTCACATTTATATAAGGATATACGGGTTGATTCCCTGGTAGATCCGCTACACATTTACCTTGGGACTACAGATCGGATTCCGGAGATCCGGCGCATCTGATAGTTGGACTACGGGGAACGTATCTGCGGAGATCACTTCAAGATATACACATTATGATCGGACTACAGCGGGTACGGTAGATTCTTGACCAGTTTGATGGGATGGACTACAGAAGGTATACCTGGGAGATCCTCGTTGTTTTTGGTACTTGTTTGAGCTGTTTACTTCTGTGTTACTTATTCTCTATGTGTTTGATTTGTTTGCTCTTGTATAACCTGTCATTATTCATAGTCGTACTCATTATTGAATTAGCCTCTTATTTTTACTGATTTGCAAAACTTATCATTAATGAGTTAACCTAGTATAGGGCCTTCTACTTCCTCGTACTACCCCGAACGGAGTTTTGGCTTGGACTTACTAAGAGATTACCGCTTGTGAGTGTACCTTATTGCCCCTGTTCTGCGCATGTTTTCATGTGCAGATCCAGATACCCCTCCACTTAGGCGCCATTATACAACCTAGAAGGCCAGGGAGATGCTACGAGAGCTTCGAGGTACTCGTGCCGGCGTCCGCAGATCGATAGAGGTCTCCTTCTTTACTCCTTCTATACCTTTTAAGCGTTTAGCCTTCTTGGTCTTTTGATTGTAGGACCTTTTTGGACATTAAGCACTTTACTGTATTCTTCTAGCTTGTGTTCCTCAGTGATTGTTCCGGGTTTTGGACGGCTGATATTTTGGTAAGACTTCACAGCCGTTACTGAGTTTGTATATGCCGAGCGGCATCTATATACACGTTTTTCTTCTAGTTGTTCAGTTTTTAATTATTTATTTCCGCGCAAGTTATGGTTGTTTTCTTCGCATTGTTTAGGCTTGTACCTAGTCGTAGGAACTAGGTGCCGTCAACGACATGTTATTTCACGAGGGCGAACTGGGTGGTGACAAGTTGGTATCAGACGCTCTAGGTTCATAATTGGAGTCACGGGCACAACCTAAGTCGGTTATTCAGAGTCTCTCGCTGGTCGGTAACGGAAACAGTTGTCTGTACTTATCTACGAAGAGGCATGTACCGTTAGGAAAATTCTCCACTTCATTTGATTCCCTGTCGTGCGAGATTTTTGACATCACAATCCTAAAATCCTGCCTTCTATTCTCTCACAGATGGTGAGGACACGTGCTACTCGAGATGATCAGGCACCCGCGCCCCCTACTGCAGCCGTCAGAGGCTGGGGCCGGGGTAGGGGCCGAGGACGCGCGCGTGGTGCAGCCAGGACACCTGCGCGAGCTACCGCCGAGGTACAACTAGCAGACCCAGCTGGAGTTCAGGCACCCGACACGCCTACTGCCACTACTACTCCAGCCCTTCAAGAGACTTTGGCTCAGTTCCTGAGCATGTTTGGTACGTTGATTCAGGCGGGATTGATTCAGGTTGTACCGACTACTTCACAGGCTGAGGGAGGGACCCAAACTCCCGCCGCCCCCACTCCAGAGCAGCGAGTCCTCATTGTTCAGGTTCCAGGTGTCATGGCGACACAGCCTGTGGTCCCAGTTCAGCGGGTGGTGAGGACCTCTCGCCGAGTAGGGGACAGGTGGGCCCAGGAGAGAAAGGACAGACGAGGTTAGGAGGAAGAGTATAGAGGAGTGAGTAGACCTCTTAGATTGGAGAGACCCGCTGGTCCTTATTTTGGAGGAAGAGTACGGCATGGGAGAGGTTTTGTGGGTCCGCCATCTCAGTTTGCAACTCAGATTTCACACAGGGTTTCAGGTGTTTAGGGGTCTCGGAGTACCCGTACTGCACAGTTTCCACCCCCACGTCGGCCGCGAGGTTGCTTTGAGTGTGGCGACATACGCCATGTGGTGAGGTATTTCCCTAGACTTGGGAGGAGTGCACCTCCACAGACTTCTTAGCCACAGCGTGCCCCGCAGAGTTCTCAGGCTATGGTTACAGCCCCAGTTGCTACCCCACCTGCCCGTTCCGCTTTTGTCATCACAGGTAGTGTCATGGTTTGTTATAGAGGTGTACAGATTCTATTCGATCTAGGCTCCACTTA